GAATCACCTTACTCTTGCATTTGATTTCTTAAATATGAAATTATTTTCTATATGTTTATTTTCTAATAAAAGCACGGTGCTTGTTTATGAACATGTGTTCTGCTCTGAATTCCAGATCTGTTGCTGCTAGTGCGCTACTGGAAGACCCTGGGGGATTCCCTTTTCGTGTGCCACCACTTGGTGGCGCTCTATGCTTATGGATACGTATTGGTTAGTTCCAGGGTCCTTTAATTTTTCTGGTGGGTGGGGAGGGGCAGAGAGGACTTTACCCTTCATCCTTTTGAAAGAAGGCCATGCTTCTTCAACCTACTTCAGCGCATTCCGCAGCATCCATCGCCTCGGCACCTCTACGAGCCAACATTTTCTGGTGTTTGCCATCTCGATCAGTTTCCATCTATTATAGCAATAGCAGTTAGACTTATATACCGCTTCATAGAGCTTTCAGCCCTCTCTAAGGGGTTTACAGAGTCAGCATATTGCCCCCAACAATCCGGGTCCTCATTTCACCCACCTCGGAAGGATGGAAGGCTGAGTCTAACCTTGTTAGAAACAGCTAACATAAGAAATAAATTGGAATAAAATTGTAAGAGGCTCAGTTTATCTTCCAAACAGATTTATTGACTGTTTTTAAATTGGAAGTACCCATTATTTCATGGTAAAAGGATCGATGTTATGTCTGCAGCCTAAACTTTTACGAATATACTTTGTGGCATTAAATGTAAATATTGAAACTTATCTCTGAACAAAGAAGGAACATATTAGTGGTAGCAGAATGTCTGCCTATATTAGTCATCTGTTGCTGTCTAATGTAGAATAGAATAGAATAACAGAGTTGGAAGGGACCTTGGAGGTCTTCTAGTCCAACCCCCTCCCTAGGCAGGAAACCCTATACCATTTCAGATAAATGGTTATCCAACCTCTTCTTAAAAACTTCCAGTGTTGAGGCATTCACAACTTCTAGAGGCAAGCTTTTCCACTGATTAATTGTTCTAACTGTCAGGAAATTTCTCCTCAATTCTAAGTTGCTTCTCTCCTTGATTAGTTTCCACCCATTGCTTCTTGTTCTACACTCAGGTGCCTTGGAGAATAGTTTGACTCCCTCTTCTTTGTGGCAATCCCTGAGATATTGGAACACTGATAACATGTCTCCCCTAGTCCTTCTTTTCATTAAACCTGACATACCCAGTTCCTGCAACCGGTCTTCATATGTTTTAGCCTCCAGTTCCCTAAT